ACACCACACTGTGTAATTTAAATGTTGTATAATATGTTGTTGGTGTTGTTCTTGTAACCGTTTTGTAGTAATTTTTTTTTTTTTTTTTTTTTTTAATTTTTTCTTTTCTATATAAGTATGTCATGTGTATATATGCATGGAAATTGTTTATATATCTTCTTTTCCTCTTTCGCTCAAACTCTCGTTCCTCCATTCTCCCTCTTTCTCTTATTTTATCAAATCTTTCACAATTTATTTCTTTTTCCCTCTATCCCTATACGTGTGTTATGTAAAATATGTGTATGTGTTAAGTGTATATAATATGTACGTGCACGCGCGCAACTTGTAAACGCGTTACGAACGAATGCGAAACGAGACGCAACGTTAAAAGCACAAGGAAGAGAAGAAGCTTATTTATTCATCATAGGAACGCAGAGATCTCGATCTGGAGCTTTCTAAAATAACTAATCCGCGATACAATTAATTTTTTTTCTCTTTACTTCATCATCTTTTTTTTCTTCTTCTTTTATAATTATAATTATCATAATAATTATTATTATTAATATTAATATTTCTTATTATTATGAATTTAATTTTTTCCTCTTATTAACATGAGTACTCGCGTGTGGAGCCGTAGATAATTAATCAATTTTAAAGGAGACAAGGTGCCAAAATGTATGTATGTATGTATGTATGTAGTACGTATGCATTATTATTATTAATATTACTATTATTATTATTATTATTATTTGAGATCTATAAATAGTGCTGCGCTTGCTCATCGATTTTATTTTTCCACTGTCTATGTATAATATTTTTAATATTTTCCTTATACAAATTATCATCATAATCTATTTGGATTGACGCGCAAGCTTAAAGTGTTTTTTTTTTCGTAGTACGTGAAGTGCCCACTATCATCATCAGCGGATATTCTTTCTTTCGTTTTTTTTTATTAATCTTGAAATTTGTTTTAAAGACAATCGACATAACTCAGATTTCTTCGCTTTCTTTTATTTGATATTTTTCTTCTATCTTTTTTTCTTTCTTTCTAAAAATTGAGATCCAGACCGAAGTCTCCTTAATTTTAAATTTAAAAGATATAGTTAATACTATTTTCATACACATTCGCGGTGGAATTTTGATCCGCACACTGCTCTCTGTTGGGATATTTTATTATACCCATAACTTTTTCTCTCTGTCACTATACACTTCATTTGAAATAAACAGAAAAATCGATAGATGTACGTACACGCGGTGTGTTTAAATAAAAATTGCGATACAATATATATATAACACGCTGTAAACATGGCGTTTCTTTCTTATTCCTTTTATTTTTTCCCTTTCTTTCTCATTTTTATACCGGATTAATAATTTTCCTTCGAGCGCATTTATCTCTCGTTTAAATTAATTTTTACCTACAAATTTTGTTTAAGACTATTTCCCCAAGAACGTGTATTTATTATTATTATTATGATAATCATTTTTTTTCCTCCATTGATGTGAGAGTGAAAATGAAGATGAGTAGTAAAAGGTAAAAGACGGAGAAGGAAAATATATATACGTATGACACAGATATAATAATAATAATAATAATAATAATAATAATAATAATGATAATAATAATAACAATAATAATAATAATATAATAATATAATAATAATAATAATAGTACTAGTAGTAGTAGTAGTAGTAGTAATAATAATAATAATAATAATAATAATAATAATAATAATAATAATAATAATAGTAATAATAATAATAATAATAATAATGATTTACAATTTAAAGAGCGAGGAGGAAGAGATGAGAAGAGATAGATAGAACGAATGTGGAAAAAACGGATATAAGATGAAAAGGAAATGCACTTCTCTTCTTTCTTTCTCTCCTTCTCTCTTTCATGAGTTTCTTTCTTTTATAATAGAAGAGAAGAAACGCGCACAACTATGCATCTTATGTTTAAATGTGGTGGGCGTGTGTTTTGTTGTGTAATGTCACTTTTTAAATATTTTTTTTCTATGCTTTCCTTTGTATTTTTTTCTCTTTTTATTGTTGTTGTTCTTGTTGTTAAAAGGAAATAAAATGATTGTGCGGGTGTTTTGTGTACAGTGTATGTGTGTCATATGCGTATATTTTTTCATTTAATTTTCTTTAAGTGTGTTATACGCGTGTTAGTATAGATGTATGTGTTATGTATTTTGTAAGTATTATATGCTCGACAGAGAATGATTTTTAGCAGTATAGCTTTTTTTAATTAAACAGTTAATTTGCCCTGTATTTTTTTTTACTTATCGACAACGAGAGATGATTAACGCGTATCGGGCGTTGACCTTCTGCGCGGATTCTTTTTTAATAATATATATAGACTTCACATCCGGATATAAGGTTTTGTTGTTTTTTTGTTCACTTTCTGGTTGGTTCGCATTTTGTGTGTTTTACATATATATTTTATACTCTGCATCTTGATTTATTAATTATTATTAATTTTTTTTTATTTTCTTTCTTTTTTATTTAATACGTCAACACCACTTCAAGTCGCAAGTTCTTCCATTATACAGGTTGCATTCACTTTGATGTCATCATTGTGACGAATTCTGGATAAAGAAATAAAAATATCATTAAAGATATTACACACATTAAAGATCATGATTATTTATTATTAGAAAGAATTCATTTTGAAATGAATAATCATCGGTATAGTGTTAACATTAAATAGATTGTCCTACTATGAAATGCGATAAATAAACTAATTTATAGAATGGAGCAAAAGTTCTAAAGTTTTTTTCAAAATAAATTCTTTTTTGGAATATTTGTATTGGGATTAAAAATGTAAAGTCATTATATATGTACTCGACATTAAAAGGATTCTAGTGTATACTCGCACACACACGTAGATACGAAGGAAAGGATACAGTAAACAAATATAAAAAGCGGGCCAGAAGTTTGTAGATAATGTGAAAAATTAATTCTACAAATAAAAAATCTACATTTTTTTCTTACAACTTTTGGCGCACTTTGTCGATGACAATTATTTATCTTTGAATTGGAACAAAAACTTATCTGTAAATGTAACTATTGTGTTTTATCAAAATGGAATAATAGATAAATAGAAAGATAGATAAGGATACAAACCTTCGTAATTAACTTGGCCATCGCCGTCAATGTCGGCCTCTCGTATCATTTCGTCAACCTCTTCATCGGTAAGCTTTTCTCCAAGATTTGTCATGACGTGTCTAAGTTCTGCCGCGGATATGAAACCATTACCATCTTTATCAAACACTCTGAAAGCCTCTCTTATCTCTTCTTCGCTGTCAGTATCCTTCATTTTACGTGCCATCATGGTCAAAAATTCCGGGAAGTCGATGGTGCCATTACCTGAAATCCGTCGCATGGATATATGCAAGGAAAATAAGAGCTCTAGGAGTAGTTGACTAAAAACAAAATAAATGACTGAAGAAAATAAAATACGATAATGTATGTAAAAGAAAGAGAAAGAAAGAGAGAAAGAGAGAGGGGAAGAGAGAGAATGAAAGAAGAAAAAAGAAGAAGAAACAACAGAAAAGATGTAAAGTATGTTATGTTATTATAAAAATATAACGTGCTTTTAGCGGTACGTCATTAGTTCGTTTTAATAAAACGCATCTAAACTTGTATATATGGTGTATAATATACCTACATAATTATGAACTAAAGAGAAAGGTCTACTTAAGTCGCATGAATCGATAAAACACGCACACGCACACAATACGTAGTGTTCCAGAAAAAGAAAATAAATAGTTAGAAGGAAAAAGAAATATAATACTGTTATTTTTTCGGTACATTTTGTGCATGTTTCGATCTTTTACCAGGGACAATGTAATTGAGAATATATGTTATTCACATAATTTTGTATTAAAAAGAAAATAATTGAATGAAGATTATTTGATTGTTTTTTTACCGTCTGCATCAACTTCGTTTATCATATCCTGAAGCTCAGCTTCCGTGGGATTTTGACCAAGAGATCGCATAACGGTGCCTAATTCTTTGGTAGTTATAGTACCATCTCCATCTTTGTCGAATAGCGAGAATGCCTCCTTGAATTCTGCGATCTGTTCCTCCGTCAGTTGGTCGGCCTTTATAGACAAAAATAATTTCATTAAATGTTATAATTGTCATACATATTTTTAATACATAAATATAATCAAAATCTGTTTCAAACAACGAACATGTATCGTTCTAAGATGTTAGAAAAGTAATCAAATAGTCGTAGATTTAGTGAAGAACAATTAGATGATATTAGTTGTTATCATTCGAGCGGTTAGCGGAAAGATAAGAGATACGACTACGAAGACCAAGAATTTTTTCAAATATCGCAGATGCAGGAAAAGAATCAACTCTTTATAATCTTATCAATTAAACATTTCTATGTGTGTATCTGATATTTTTTCTTAATTCTCGACTGATTCATACAATTTACTTCAAACTTTTCTTTTCTTTTTTCTTTTTATTTTCTATCGTTCGATTTACTTACGCGAGTAAAGTATTTTTCATTAATTTTTATTAATCGCAATTAATCGATAAACAAGATGTTCTTACACATTTCTCTAGGTTGTTTTATTATCTTCCCTTAGAGAGAGAGAGTGCCGGACGAAGCACAAGGTCCGTTAAAATAGTATATTTTCTCCTTGAATCTTTTTATCGATATACGATACACGCGTGCGCCGCTATTAAGCGTCGTCTTATCTTAAAAGGGAAATTAATTAATCTAGGAAAAATCAAGAAAATGCATTCACTTGCAATTACATATTTGCATGTACATAGAAAAAAGTATAGCCTCACGCTACTACTATCATCGTCATAATTCTTTGATTAATACAAAAAATGAATCGTAGAGTTTATTAAACCTGCAACGAATACGTTCTTCTTTTTTCTTTCTTATTTTTCCTCTAGTCGACATTTTAAGCAGCTTGTCATAAATAAAACAATATTTATAATCTACAGATATTTCGTAAAAAAAGGGCTAAAGAATTAGCGATGTGTTGCTACGGCTTCACGGTACCCCGGGAAAATTTGAATTTAAGAGATTCCAAGTATAACTAAGTTTTCTTCTTGTTTATATTTCATTGGTTGCCGTACGCCTGCGTCACACCTGCAATCTAGGGTCCTCAGATATGGGACCGAAATATAATTTCCGACCTTTCTTTTCATTACAAAAATGACTTTATAGAATATTGATTTGAAGAGACCTCGGGGACACCCTGTTAATAGGGAACCCAGGCAGCAATTGCATTTTTGGTCCGTAGGATAATGCACCATTGTAAAGGATATCTTTTTACTGTGGCATATGATTAAAAAAAACAAAGATTAGAAAATTCATATGTGAGTTAAGAATAGGATAGTAAAGTATACAAAAAGCCTAAACAAAGTGTTAGAAATTGGAAAAGTGAGAGAGAGCGAGCGAGAAAGAAAGAGAGAGAATTGGCGTCGTACCGAGAACGCAAAAATCAATAGCAAGGTATATCATAGAAAAGTTGACTGAAGAATGCCACGCCACGTTACAATATTCTCTTTGCCACGAAAACTGTACAACACAATGTTATACACATAACACACGTATACATATACAAAATGTATGCAGTGTGTCAGGAAAGTGATCTATACATTATTAAAGAAACTCTATCTTTATATATACATATACATAACATGCGCACGCGTGTGTGTTATACATTTTCTTGAAAGAGACATAAATATGCATGTTATGTATCATCGTGATGACCATAAGTGATTTGAAGAAAGAAGAATCATTGAGAAGCTCTGTCATCATCTCAGTTATTTCTATCGAATTACATCGTTACAATCGATTTCTATAAATATTCTTATTCTTATTAATTTGAAGACACGTTTCAAGTAATAAAGTATAAAAATACGAATACACAACGATAAAAATCAGTTAAGATTGAGATTGTGATGTTAGCTACATGAATTGTTCGACATCTTAAATTCGACTACGTCATTGGTTGCCGATTCTGTGTACCTAACTTCAAATCTCTCTTTCTATTGGACAATTTGTGATGATAGATTCCTATTCAAAATATCCTAAAAAGAATACAATTAACGTACATTTTTGTATTAAAACTGATTATAAAACTATTAAAAATAGAAATGGACAAAATAATTAAAATAGAATCGGGTGATTTAACTATAATTGTCAATAATATTTATACGTATTTTGCGTCGCGATAAAGAAAAATGAAGTGAGAATGAGAAAGAGCGAGCGAGCGAGCGAGAGAGAAACTACAGCAATACCAACTATATCGTACAAAAAACCCCCGATAGACGGGAAAGAGGACTGGTCAGGAAGCAAGAAATGATATTTGTAAGTTTGCATTTTGTTAGCGAGCACGAGTGAAGATTATGGAGGAGGAAATAACGATTTCAAGACGATTAACTGAATGGCGTTGATGTCGAATCTCGCAAAAGTGGAACAACTTCAAACTAAAACAAGTCGTGCGTATACGATATGCTCGTCATCGATCTGACCGTTATACACGTTAACACGGTTTCTCAAGCACATAAGGGCGTTATTTCGCCGGCTGCGACACGATGCTTTTACCCTCTTTTTCTCCCTCTCTCCATCTTTCTTGTCTACTCTTTTTCAAGGAAATGAATTATAATACATATATATAGATATATGTATGTATTTTTCAATTTTTTGTTGAAAATAAAATAAAAAAGAAGATTGACTCAAGTATAAGAAATCGGTTACATACTTTAACAGGAGGTAGTAGAGCGAAAGTAAAAGAATAAATAACAGAGAGAGAGAGAGAGAAAGCGGATCGATGTACCACGCAAAGAGAAAGAGAGAGGAAAGAGAGGATATCCGACACGATATCCCGATATGATCCCGGCTCGAGCCGGCTGCTGCTGCCACCGTTGCGAGTATTCCTATTTGCCGTTACTCGATGATAGAAAAGAAGCTATGACGATGACGAAGACGATGACGATGACGATGACGATGACGATGACAACGGCAACGACCAGGAATAATACGAAAAAGGTTAACTGACGAGATATGAAAAGAGATATGCATGCTTTTTGGTACATACTCTGTAAAAGAGGATTAGAACTTCAATGATGCAGATTGTTCACTGGCACGTGCACGCTCAGTGGCGCGTCAACGTTAAAAGAGATGGATGGATGGATGGATTGATTGATAGAGTGAAAGAGGGAGGACAAATAGAAAAAGTGAGATGAAAAATAAATGAATAGATTAGATAAGGAAAAAGAGAACGATAGCAGAATACGCTGTAGTCGTTGAAACGACGTTCGGGTCTACAAGAGAGCTTAGCTTCCCTTCCGTCCGTCCGTAGGCTTGTATGTGAATTAATAAAGATATCGCGAAATAGAAATAAAAGAAAAACAATATGAAAAATGGTAACTTACCATTTTATCACTCCTTTTCGCTTCTTCTCTCAGGCTCCTTCGAGAAAGTTACGGAGTTTTAGCCGTATGGAGACACTAGACACAGGGAGAGAGAGCGAGCGGTATTATTCACAATATCGTCTTCCTTGTAACGGCGGATATACGACGTATATATTATAATTACGCAGAGGGAATTGAAGAAGCAAGCGAGAATAAAAGGATAAGAAGAAGAGAATAGATATTATATTTATGTATGTTGGTGCGTGCGCGAGCGGGCGCGGCGTAGAGAGAGAGAAAGAGAAAGAGAGAGAGAGAGAGAGAGAGAGAGAGAGAGAGAGAGAGACAGACAGACAGACAGACAGAGAGAGAGAGAGAGAGACAGACAGACAGACAGAGAGAGCAAAAATATACCGGACAGAGAAATAGAGACAGAGCGACGACGACGACGACGGACACAGCGATACGACACCAGCGGCCGACGAGAAACGCACTCAGGACAGCAATGGAGTCCACGGTTCTCTATCGGTGTGCGAGGGCTCTGCCGCAAGCTCGGCCGGCCGGGTATCACTACGCCGACCAACCCCCACTACTCGCTCCTACGAGCGCCAACCAATCGGACCTGCCAAGAGTCCAGTAGGCGGGGAGAGGTGCAGAGTACGCGCCACTCAGGAGCGCGCCGTTTGCTACGCGCGCGAGAACTAGCACCGCTAAGGACTTCCTACGTGCGAAAAGAACGTCGTACGTGCGTCCCTTCGACGCGCTTCGAGAAGGAAACGTACGCAAGCTCTACGTCGAGCCCCGCAACGAGGCTTCCTCCCTTGGACTTGCGAAGACGTTTCGCATGCGGGGTGGGTGCGGTCCCGTGTTTACAGGACAAGTCCGGGCGAACTAAACGGCCCTGTGATTGGCCAGCGCGCACCTGCAATGCGTCAGGCAGCCGCGCGCGGTCTACCACCGCCGCTGCTATCATCACCGCAGTTGCCGCCGCCAAAGTCGTCAAAGTCGTCAAAGTTGTCCTCGTCGTCGTCGACGACGTTCTCCTCCTCCTTCGCCTCCTCCTTCTCGTCTGTTATTCCTTGACATCGTCATCGTCATCCTCATCGTCATCGTCATCCTCATCCTCATCTTCATCCTCATCCTCATCCTCATCCTCATCCTCATCCTCAATCCTCATCCACATCCTCATCCTCATCCTCATCCTCATCCTCATTCTCAATATCAGATCATCTACATCGTTGGGACGATCAGCCACCGGGTCAAAGCCGGCCTCCTGCATATCTCCTTACCTGTTTCTTACCTGTATCTGTACCTTATCCTTCCTTCCTTCCCAATTGCATCTTTCCCTTCATATTTTACCTCCTTTCCTTATCTTTGTGTTATATACTTTTCTCTTGCATTTTCTTTCAATCCCTTATGCTCTTTTCTCCTTCATATCATCCCTTCTACTTTTATCTATCTTCTCGATTTTTCTTCGATATGATCGAGATACTCTTTGATTCGTAAGAACCATTGCGTTTATATTAGCCGATAGATTGTACGACCTTTTGAGAAAAGATGCTGTAAGGGTATGAACCCTTACGTTAAGCTCTCTATCTTTCTCTCTCCTTTCTTATTTCGACCTTTAAACTTATTTCATTTTTAAAAGCATAGAGTTCGAATCGGTCAGCGGATAAAACATCCGTTAAAAAAGAGTAAATCCGCAAATTCAAATGATTAGGCGTAATAATATAATTTTTGTCGTTGTTTCGTC